GGTGCTTCTTGCGCCCACGCAGCTCACCTTCTCTGCCCTAGGAGCGTGGGATGGTGGTGGGGGAGCTTCCTTCTGGGTGCTGGGACTGGCTCAGATTCTCTGCCCTAGGAGCATGGGATCTATGTGCACCTACTATAAATTAGCTTGAAATGTACCACTCTGGGATATATCAGATATTATACCACTATAAATTTTTAAAGATTCTCAGATGAAATGTAACATCTGAAATGGAGAGGTTTTAATAAAATGATAGAAGAGTAAATAGAACAAAAGTGAGAAGTTTTCATAGATTCCATGTTAGCCTTTTCTGCTTATTTTGTAATAATTACATTCGACAAGCAAAACTGCATTGGGACAACTTACCAAACGCTTATTAAAATTATTTCTGTAGGAAAAGCACACATCTGTGAGGCTGTGATTGCTGCAGCATTCGGTGGACCCATCTAGCCGTTTGTATGCTAAAGAGAAGTACAGCGTTTATTAGAATCTGTTATCTAGAAATATATTTGTAATGAACATTTTCCTTTTTTATGAGAAAAAAGCAAAATAGCATATGAGTCTGGAAACAGCCATGTAATTCTGTGCTCAGTCTGAGACCTACTTGCTGAAGTTTGATTTTATATTATAAAAACAGGTCCATCCAATTTGAAGTCAAGAAGCAGCACTTACCCTAGGTTAGCTGTCCTCATGAACTTACCCACCCACAAAGTTGGAGTTCAGGATCTCAGTAGGTTTTGTAATTGTAATTCCAGGGCCCTTTCTGAAGTAGATAGTGAAGAAGGATCTATCTACTTTTGAAAAGTTTTGGAAGATGGTAAGTGGCTCATGAGAATAGAGAAAGTTGACAAATATTTCAACCTGAAAGAATCAGGTTAGCCGCCTGAATAATCTTAACATCACTAAATGGAAGAACATTAGACACTGGGTGCCTTCTGATATAATGCAATAGGAAGTCCCAAGTGCTATCTGTGAAGAATTTTGTCAAGAGAAAAAAGTGGTGGGGGGGGACTCCTGTATAAAAATCAAGCCTGTAGGCCTAATTACTGGATTATAGGAAATTGTGGGCATCTGAACACGTTAGTGATATCAGAAAAATCCAGAATATGCAAAATTTGATAAAACAAATGCCTGTTTTATCAAAAAGCAAATGACATTTAAAAAACAGAGGAACTGTTATAAATTAAGAGACTTAAAAAACCTATTGTAGTATCCAGATTTTTTTTTGGTACTGGGATCGAACTCCGGACCTTGTGCTTGCGAGGCAGGTGCCGGAACCACTGAGCTAAATCCCCGGCCCTGTACTATCCAAGTATTAAAACAGTTAGGCACTCTGGGAGGTTGAGGCATGAGGATCGTGAGTTCAAGCTCAGCCTGGGAAACTTATCAACATAGTAAGACACTCTCAATATAAAAAAAAGGACTGGGAATGCAGCTTTATGCAAAGGCCCTTAGTTCAATCTCTACTACCACAAAACAAAAACATTAGAGAATACTGAACACCAACTGGATATTGATTTGTTCAGTGAGATAATGGTATTGTGATCATATTTAAAGAGTCATCTACCAAGACAGACTGAATTTTATGGATGAAATGATAGGATGCCTGAGATATGCTTTAAACTACTTCCCAAAAAGTGGCCTGCTTAAATGAAAACAATTAGCAAAATGTTGGTAATTGCTAAAGCTTGGAGAAAAATACAAGAGGAACTGTTTATACTACTCTTTTATAAATGTTTGAGCATTATTTTATAATTAAAGGTTCTTGAAAATGGGTTAAGCACAGAAAACTAAATTTAAAAGCTTTTAAAATTCAGTTCTTACTACTTTGCCTTTGATAAACACAGTAATTTAATAACATTATTTTTTTCCTGCAGTACTTGGGATTGAACCCACAAGCACTCTACCACTGAGCTACATCCCCCAGCCTTCTTTACTTTTTATTTTGAGATAAGAGTCTTACTAAGTTGCACAGGCTGGCCTTAAACTTGTGATCTTCCTGCCTCAGCCTCCTAAGTAGGTAGGATTACAAATGTGTATCACTGTGCCTAGGAGTAAAATTATTCCTGATTATTAATCAATATGCCTATACCAGTAGATATAGACAAGTAGCTAGAGCATTTCTTAAAGATATAGGCTTTGAGGAAAATTTGTATTTTCCAACACTTCCAATCCCATCTTGGGCCAGGGATTTAGCTCAGTGGTGCGGCTACCACCACCTGCCTTGCAAGCGCCAAGGTCTGGAGTGCAATCCCCAGTACTAAAAAAAAAAAAATTTGGGTCTTCAAATTTGTACAAAGAGTAGAGAGGGTGATTTTTCAGACCTGAAACAACTCAAAATGTTCAGAAGGTTCTGAGAAGAAACTTGCTTCAGCTGTCACCTGCTGCACAGGACAACATATCTGTCTCTATGGGGTATTTTTGGAAGTCAAGATAACTTTCTTTGGGTTTCTGCCATATAAAAGACATAAAATAACTTTACCCTAAATAGCCTTACACATGCCATTGTCCATACATAGCTACTACTGGAACCACTGAAGTTTAGGTATGGCTTGGCCAGAAGAAGGAAATCTTTTCTAAATGTCAGGTTGTGTCTGTGTTTGTCAATTTTCTTTTATTTCTTTTAATTGTTCCTTATTGCATGCCTGTGTTAATAATATATTAATATAGAATGCTTATGCTTTGGTCTTATGTATTCAGTTATTAACTATCAGTTATTTATCTGTTCTAACAAAAGCTTATGAGGGAACTGGGGTTCTAACTCAATGGTAGAGTGTGTGGTTTGTATGCACAAGGCTCTAGGTTTAATTCATAGCACCACAAAACCCAAAAAGCTTATGCAAAGGAGAAGCACTTCAGGTTATTTACACTAACTTTAAAAAATTACACAGATATATAAAGATACTATTCTGCATCTACACACATACATAAAGATAGTATTATATTGGGGGTATTTACTAAAATTTAGCTTATTAGGTATGGTTGAGCTTGAATGCTGATTTAACACAAGGGTTTTATTAAGCAAAAAATTATATAATACAGTCCTGAAAGTCAAATATGGTATTACAAAAGTAGTCAGAAGTTCAACAACCATATATAATAAAGGAAACAAACATATTTAGTATCTAACTTACCAAGAAGAGTATTTATTTGTTTGAGCCTATTTATTTTACTGAATTGTTTTAAAAAGATAGGAACAAAATGAAGGTATAGGTATGATCTAAAGACTAGTGAATGGAAGGCATTGATGCTTAAAACATTAAATTACACTGAAAAAGCATACACACCTCTAACTGGGAAGCTTAACTGTTGTAAAGTTGATGCACTTATACAGTAGCCAATCTGGGGCTCATAGGCTATGGCATCTAGACATTCATTCCAATCTTGTACATTAGTAACAGGACAATCCTGTAGATGAGTGACAAGGTCTCCCACAAAAAGGCCTCTGGGTCCAATGGCAGGTGAGTCCTTAGGAAGGCAAAACCAAATCAGACAAGGTATGAAGAGAAGCTAAGATTACTCTGAACACATAACAGTAAAAGACACTAAGTCAATAGAATATAATATGTTGAATAATGCAGAAAATAATTCAGCTTTTTAAGACCAATAGTTCCAGGAAATTAACAAAATAAAGCCCAGCAATTATAGTTGCTTTCCCTAATTTTCCAAAGATTCTTTTTTTATTTTTCACAATTAAAAAGTAAATCTATTTGCTGACTGATGCTGAGGGTGTATCACATGATTAGCTTTAAATCCCAGCACCAAAGAAGAAAAAAAAAAACGGTAATTTTTTTTTCTCAAACTGCTAATTAAAATTTTTGGGAAACTTTCCTGTATCTTCAGTGGATTCAACTAGAAGACAGTCCCTGTATTAAAAAAAAAAAAGTCTCAAATATGCAGAGAATACCCTCAGCGCAATGACTATGTAAGCCAATTCCTCACAAAGGCAGTTTTCCTTTTCAGAATGTCTGAACAGAAGATTTGATGCCATCATAATAGTTATTGTCTAAAGGAATGAACAGCAGCTTAAATTCCTAAGAAATGTTCTGGCTGTGTAGTTCAGGTTTCATCTTTCTTACTTCTAACATATCTTAAAATTTAAAAATAAAAAGAAATACATATATAGCTCAGTGCAAAAGCCCTAGGTTCAATCCCCGGTAACACACAAACCCACATATGTGTGCGTGTATGTGCATGAGTGTGTATGTGCACACACACACACTTCTAGAGTGATGACATTTGACTCAAAAACAAAGATACAGCCAGGCACAGCAGCACATGCCTGTAATCCTAGCATTCTGGGACCGTGAAAGGAGGATTGCAAGTTTGAACCCAGCCTGGGTAACTTAGTGACTTAGCGAGATCCTGCCTCAAAATTTAAAAATAAAAAAGACTGGCTATGTAGCTCAGTGTGTCAGTATGAAGGCCCTAGGTTCATTCCTGTCTATCTGTCTGTCTCTCTCTCTCAAAAGATACAAACAGTAAGAGTAAATGATGCATTCTATCGAAAAGTACACGTAGAAAATCTTGATATTATTTTTGTAACTCACAACAAAAACAAACTTCATAGCATTTTTAAAAAGCTAATGTGTTAACTAACATTATATTTAGATTTAAAAAGATTACAGTAATTTCTTTGGAAGAAATCGAGCATTGTATGTATGAGAAAAGCTTGAATAAAAGTACCTGATATTAAATGCTATTATACACAATGCTTGGTCACAGAATGCCCTAAGTAATACATTATTTACCTCAGCGACTTCAGTGATGAGTACCCCAACTCCAGTGTAGTAAAATGGCAAGAGAATTACTGGAAGGAGAACAAGAGCTAAAACACCCAAGAGGGCAAGGACAAAATTGTGCCAGATACCTGAAAAGAGAGAAAAAAAGTAATTAAATTCAACAGAGGCAAATATATTCAAATAAAAGTTAAGAGGAAGTTTTAAGAAAACATTCCTGCTGAAAAAGGATATGGAATCCCAAATGGCATTTGAAAAAAGAGGTTGCTTTAATTTTACAAATTAAAATTATTATGGAGAGTAATATTGGTAGAACAAACAGTTATGCAGCATGTCACAGAATATAAAACAAGAAACCATAAAGATGCTGGGTCTTTCTTTTAGAAAATGGTAAAATGGTAATCCACTGATCTTTTTCATCATATATTTAACCTTTGCAGCGATGCATAGGAAGACTTTCCTACACCTAATATTATATAATTACTTTTTTTTAGAGGAAGGTGGTCTTAAAGTTTTGTTTTTATATTTATTTCCCATTTGGAATTTATTTTTTCTGCACAGTGTGATTTACAAATGTAACTACCTTTATTAAAATGTTTAGCAATGTATTATTTTCTTACTAAATTAAATACTACCTTTTAAAAAACAGTACTACTTTTTTTTTTTTTTTTTTGGTACCGGGGATAGAACTTGGGAACTTGCGCTTGTGAGGCAGGCAGCAGAACCACTGAGCTAAAGCCCTGGTCCAACAGTACTACTTTTTTTTTTGGTATTGGGGATCGAACTCTGGACCTTGTGCTTGCGAGGCAGGTGCCGGAACCACTGAGCTAAATCCCCGGCCAACAGACTACTTTTAATATTGGCCTGCTCTGCTTTTTACTCTTTCCTACTGGTAATATTACATCAGTGTCAAGTAAAGCAGTTGTAATTACTGGCAGTAATATTTCAGTATTTAAGTAAAAACTTGTTTACTTTGGTTATTTCCCTTTTATTCTTTCTGAGAAATTTAAGAATCATTTTGACAACCACCAAGTATTATTCAAAGTAGGATTTCTAATGTCACTACAATAACTAGGGGTGAATCCATAATTTTACATTTTTGACAAAGGATCATGGCATCTCTATATCTATCACTAAAGACTGGTAATTTTCTCTATATAGGCCCATATATTTCTTGAAAAAATATTAACTTCTGATGTTTTATATATCACATTACTTTCTCAATGGTACTTTTTTTCTTTCCATGACACTATTGGGTAGTTTAGATATACAGGACATGATATTCATTTTTGTGTTTACTTCATAATCAACTGCCAAATGAATTTTTCCTTTAGGATTGCTTAGGCTTTAAATTCTTCTCCTGGGCTTTTCATTATTTGCTAAAGATCACTTATCACCTCCAAAATTTATACCTCATCCCCTTCCCCACCTTTTGGTCTTATAGTAGTGGCTAGAACTTCTAGAATAATGTTAGTTATGATGGCATGGCATCTGTTGCTTTACAATGTTAAAAGAACAGCCAAGCAACAGCAGGGCTTAGATAGAATTGATGTCCAAATTTTATTCTGGTTTACATTTTAAGCAATATGACTGGGGTAAGAGTACAAAAATCTGAGTATGCATGATTCAATACACGGAAGTGATTCCCTGGTCACCAGCTGACTTAATAGGTATAATAATAACTTAACTAATAACTTCATTATTTTAAGGATCACCCACAGTAGTTATATCTGAAAAAATATAAATTATCACTTTGGCAAGGACATAGCTTACTATAATTATATCATTAACATCATCTCTATGGTCACTAATATTTCTGCTATTTACTCCTTATTAAACTTGCAACTAGCTGATAAAAATAAGAACAGGGTTTTCAATATTCAAGAATGAATTAAAAAACTTAAGTGTGGAGCCAGAATGATTAAATTTTATTTTCACTATTTAGGAATTTTTAGCAATAAAGAACAGTTTGTGGGTTTTGTGTGGCTGTGTGTGTATGTGTTTGTGCTGGGGACAGAACCCAGGGCCTCGCAACTGCACAAATGTAAGGCCAGTGCTCTACCACTGAGTTATACTTCTAAATGGAGAATTTATATTTTACTTGGGATTGGATAGCAGGCACTGTTTAATCTTCTAAAAACATTTTTTTTTGACCTGGGCATGGTGGCATACATCTGTAATCCCAGCACTCAGGAGGCTGAGGCAGGAGGATTGCCACAAGTTTGAGGCCAGCCTGGACTACATAGTGAGCTTAAGGCTAGCCTGAACTACATAGTGAGTCCTTGTCTCAAAAAACAAACAAACAAATTTATTTGGCTCTGCTGGGGATCAAACTCAAGCCTCATGCCTGCTAGGCAAGTGCTTTCTCACTGACCTATACCCTAACCTGAGAATTTACTCTCCACTTGGGACTGGATAGCAGGTAGTTCAATCTCTCTTCTAAAAATTCTTTATTTTTTTGACTGTGCTAGGGATTGAACCCAGGGCCTTGCAATACTGGGAAAGTGCTTTACCACTAAACTGTATCCCCAGTCTCTAAAAATTCTTTATACTTTTATTCAAAATTTAAGTATCTTGGGCTGGGGATTTAGCTCAGTGGTGCCGCTGCCTGCCTCACAAGGGCAAGGTCCTGAGTTCGATCCCTGGTACCAAAAATAATAATAATAATTTAAGTATCTGCCTTTACGGTGAGCCAATGATGTATCCCATCTCATCTTTCTTCCTCACCAAATTTCATAAAGATGGGTACTGGATTTTCCTTTTCAAAATTAGTATGCATTTCATTGCTTAAAAAACAGCTATTACATATATAACTCTCCTTCCTTCCTTCCTTCCTTCCTTTCTTCCTTTCTTTCCTTCTTTCTTTCTTTGTACCAGGGATCCAACTTGGGACACTGCACTTTCGAGGCAAGCGGCGGAACCGCTGAGCTAAATCCCCAGCCATTTATTTATTTTTTCTGGTACTGGGGATCGAACTCAGGACCTTGCGCTTACGAGGCAGGCGCGGTGCCAACATATATAACTCTTTAAAAGTATATTATAGGGCCGGGGATTTAGCTCAGTGGTTCCTGAGCCTGCCTCGCAAGCGCAAGGTCCCACGTTCAATCCCTGGTACCAAAAAAAAAAGTATATTATAAATTAAATATTCTTTAGTAGATTAACATAAATGACACCCTGGGCTTTTTTTCTTTCAGTTGAGACAGGGTCTTTTTTTTTGGTACCAGGGATCGAACTCAGGACCCTGTGCTTGTGAGGCAGGCGGCAGCACCACTGAGCTAAATCCCCGGCCCGAAATATGTTTTCTTTTTGCTTTTTTTTGTGTGTGTGCCAGGGATTGAACATAAGACCTCATGCTTGCCAGGCAGGCACTGTGCTGCTGAGCTCCATGCCCGGCGAGACAGGGTCTTGCTATTTAGTTTAGGCTGGCCTTGAACTCACTAATAAGTAGCCCGGGCTGGCCTCCAACTTGTGGCAATCCTCCTGCCTCATCCTGCTGAGTGCTGTGATTATAAGCATGTGCCACCACACCCAATGCACCTAGGGCTTTTTTCTTTTGGTATAGAGGATAGAACTCTGGACCTCATGCTTTCCAGACAGGAGCATTCCTGGCCCACCCTGGAGTTTTTTTTCTCAGTACAAGCAATGGAACTCAGGACCTTGCTCTTGCCAGGCAGGCACAGCACCGCTCGGCTAAATCCCAGCCACCCTGAAATTTTTAATATGGAAGGAAGAGAACATTTTAGAAGTAGAAACGATACACTACTAAATTTAAAACTAATAAATTAGGCTCTCTCTCTCCCTTCCTCCCTCTGCGATTCATGCATATCACAAGCTTCAGAGATCATGTTTCCCACACCTGCTTCCACTTTAATAAGAGCACCAGTGTGAGCTCACAGTTCAACAAACACTCAGCAGGGAATGAAATACTAATGCCTTCTTCTGGGCAGTCCTTATCCTTTGAATTTGCTCTCTATTGGCTGCAGGCTAAGTGCATCTCCTCACCCCCACTTTGCCCCCTGCCTGGCAAAGCCACTCCATTCTTTACGAGACTGAATCATACCGGGGTGGGGGGGTGATGGGCTAGGTAAATTCGAAAACAGGACTAGGCCAGTTTATTCTGTCCCAATTAATAAACTCTTACGTGGTGTGGGGACATACAACTTTCTTAAGTATTAATTTTGGACCTTAGGTGCCAATTCTAACAATAAAAGAAGGGGAAAAAAAAATCCCCAGTGTTTTTAATTTTTTTTTTGGTACCAGAGATTGAACTCGGGTCCTTGCGCTTGCAAGGCAAGCGACGGAACCACTGAGCTAAATCCCCGGCCCCTTTTTTTTAAACTTTGAGACAGGATTTCACTACATTTTCCAGTTTGGCCTCTAACTTGAAATCCTTCCACCTCAGACCTGGAGCGCTGGGATTACAGACGTGTGCCACCACATCTAGCTCTAGTTGGTGCATTTTTAACCAAAACTTGAAAAAAATCTTGAAAATTCTTAAGTAGCTTTTAAAAAAATTACTAAAAAATATACGACTAAAAAAACATCCAAAATCTAGGAAAAATAAAAAGTAAAAGTAATCTTTCCTAAATACCATTTCTTAACCACCAGCGCCATGACTCACAGTAAATGTTACTATTTTTTGATTATTCCTCCAGAAACTTTCTTTGCTCACACCAGCAAGAATGACATGCTATTATTTATTCAAGAGTACACAACAGCAAGTCTTCTAATAACTCTATAAGGATATTTTTATAAGGATATTTAAGAACAGTTTTAAAGGACTTTTAACATGATTATCCATCTCAAAAATTGTATTTTTTTTTTTTTGGTACCAGGGATCGAACTTGGGACCTTGCGCCTGCAAAGCAGACACCAGAACCACTGGGCTAAATCCCTGGCCCTCAAAAATTGTATTTTTAAAATTTTTTCAGTTACTGAAGAATGAGCATGGTGTATGTAATACTTCATGTGTGCATATCTGTCTGGAAATGTATACAGAAACACATAATAAAAGGTTTTTCAGCAGCTGGCGATGTGCCTGTCTGGCAAGTGTAAGGTCCTGAGTTCAATTTCTGGTACTGGAAAAATAAAAAGGCTTTTCAAGATACAGGTGTATACAGTGTTTTTTGGTGTGTATGTTGCTGGGGACCAAACCCAGGGCCTTGAACATGATATATCACTGAGGTACATTCCTGGCCAGTAAACACTTTTTATGTGTGTGTGGAGGTGGGAATGGAACTTAGGGGCTTGTGTCTGTTAGGCAAGCACTCTACCACTGAGCTGCACCAGCAGCCCTCAGTTTTAGACTGTAAACTCCTTTTTTTTTGCCTAACAATTACATTCTATCCTTTGGCAGAGATGTAATATGAACTCAGAAGTGTGCTGCAGCCTGCTCCTATTAGCTTTCCAGAGCCAATAGTGTACATCTCCTCCTAATTTCTTCTTTAGGAACTGTAGGTTACAACTTGAAATTGGCCACAATGGGAGTATTCATACCGCAGAAACCAGAACCAGGAAATGCTAATAACAGAGCTGCTCACTATACCTTCTAGAGCCAGGTGTTGAAACATTCACTAGCATGCCCCTCCTCCCGTACCAAGTCTTCCCTTTTTCTACAGCAGATTTTTGCACAGGGAGTGGGGGGTGGGTATGAGTATCAGGGTTCGAATGGAAATGATGTGGACCACCCTGACCTACTGTGGAATCTAGTGGTTATGATGGAGCTAGACTTGAGACTGTGGCATAGAAACTGCATGTTAGGAGTAGCAAAGCTAACAACAGAGACCCTCCTAAATCACAGAATTATCAACATTGAGCTATTTACATGTGAAATGTTTTCAGAACTGAGGCCACTTTTATTTTAGCTATTAGAGCAGTTGGATACCTAGCTAACACATGTTCCATGTACCATATTCACATCGTAAAAAATTTTTAAAAAGTGATCTAAGTTGTTAAATTCCAGAAATCTCGAGGGTAAGATGGCTCAGGACTTATTGGAAAAATAATCTTTTCTTTTTTTTTTGGTATCAGGGATTGAACTTGGGACCTTGTGCTTATGAAGCAGGCAGTGGAACCACTAAGCTAAATCCCCCGCCCCAAAATAATCTTTTCTATTACACACAAAGATATCTTTTTAAAACACCAAAAGTACTAAATTATTTATGCCATATTTTGAACATTTTTCCTTATTTGTACAGTCATATCAATCCTATTTCATATATTTGCTACACAGTAATCCATCACAAAAACATCAGTTTATTTATGTATTAATGATCACTTAGGGTGCTTTAACCTGTTCACACAGTGATGCAATAAACAGATTTGCTTTTATTATTATGGTTCTACTTAAGTATGAATCTGAAAGGGAATTTTACCTAGAAATGGAATTATTGGGTCAAAAAAGCATGTGTACTGATAGTGATCGCCAACAAGTTTACATTATTTCCTGTTTTCCTTCCCCTGAACAATACTGGATTTGATAGTCTGCTGATTGTCCTGCTTTCTAGTTCTTTTCTTATGAATGAGCCTACACATTTTATAAGGTTATTTTATTTCTCTTGTCTGAAAGCCACCTATTTCTATCAAATTGCCTGTTTATAACTTTGGTCATTTTTGGCTAGCCGTTTTTTTTTGTTTTTTGAGACGAGGTCTTACTATAGAGTTCAGGCTGGCCTTGAACTCACTAAGTAGGCCTGGGTGGCCTCAAACTTGTGGTGAGACAGGGTTTCATCATGTAGTTTAGGCTGGCCTTGAACTCACTAAGTAGCTCAGGCTGGCCTCAAACTCATGGCGAGATAGGGTCTCACTATTTTGTTCAGGCTGGCCTTGAACTCACTATGTAGTCCAGGCTTGCCTTGAACTTGCCGAGAGACAGGGTCAAACTAGGTAGTGCCGGCTGGCCTTGAACTCACTATGTAGCCCAGGCTGGCCTTGAACTTGTGACAAGACAGGATCTCACTATATAGTCCAGGCTGGCCTTGAACTAAGTAGACAAGGCTGGCCTCAAACTCATGGTGAGACACAGTCTTACTATGTAGTTCAGGCTGGCCTTGAACTCACTATGCAGCCTCGAACTCATGATCCTCGTGCCTCAGCCTCCTGAGTGCTGGGATTACAGGCATACACCACCATGTTCGGCTAGCCTGTCTTTTTACAAGACTAATTTGCACATATTATTACTTATATGCACTGAGGAACTTGGTCCTTTGTAACCGGTATTAAAAGTTTCATCCCTAAGTTTATTTTGCTTGTTTTACCTATATGGCATTAAAAATTTTGATAAAGGGGCCGGGGATTTAGCTTAGTGGTAATGCGCCTGCCTTGGAAGCGCAAGGTTTTGAGTTCAATCCCCGGTTCCAGAAAAAAAAATTTGATATGGTCAAATGGCTCCTTTGTAGCAAATCTTTTCCATTTTAAGATAAAAAAAGATTCATATGCGTTTTCTTATACTGCTTTCATAGTTTAATACAATTCAAACCGCAAAACTTCACTCACTCAATTCAATATGCATTAGAATATATTCTAGTGAAACTAATTCACAATACTACTCCCTAACTCCCACCCCTCAAGTGCTAATCACAGAACAAGGCAAGAACAAAGGAATAAAGAGAACAAAGGTGAGGGCAAACAGGAGTGCTGACTCCTTGGCTCTCTGAGTAGTCTCCTATTTCTCACCAGGCAGGCAGCTGGTACCAGATATAGGTACTGGCCTATATTGTGAATTTGACCATGAAGGCTAAGTGGCAATGGGGGGCTGTGGAGCTCACACACTACCTTCATCTAAACAACCTCTTGTCTATTATTATAATTTATTTATAAACACACCTCTGTGATGTTTTTACTTTTCCTAGAGGAGGACTTAACACTGCCATTACTAGCATTTTGGCCAGACAATTCTTTGTTGTAGAGGACTGGCCTATGCACTCTATCTAGGATGTTTAGCATTCCTCACCTCTACCCACCAGATGCCTGTAGCACTCTCTCCCTTTCCTTTATCACTAATATATATTTATACAGGTAAGCTATCTTTGGGGAGTTGTGCTGAGGATCAAGCCCAGAACCTTGTGCATGCACACAATTGCTGAGAGCTATAGCCCCAGCCCCAGAGCTACTTCTTTTTCTTCTTTAAAACAGCGTTTTTTGGGTTTTTTTGCTTTTCCCATTACACTAGATGTACATACCAAGTGCTTAAAGTCAATATATATACACAATACATTCTACGACTGGTCTCTATCACTGAACAGGCAAATAAATTACAAACAAGATCTAGTAGTATTTTTTGGAAAATGGCCAAAATAGGTTTACATTGACTATTAAATAATCTAATGCATTAGATACTGCATAATACACCTAAAAGATAGTTATACAAAATGTGTTACCATTAAACAATACAAACAAAATTATTATACAAAGCTTATATAACTTTTCAGAAGGAAAATATGTATCCATATAATTCTTTGTTTTTTAAAGAAAATCTTTCTCAATAAAACTTACCCACTTCCAGCAAAACCACATATATAATTGCCAAGCATATTCCTAAAAGTTTAAAAGTATAAACATGAACATTTGTAAAAGATCTTTTTCCTTTTGCAGTGCTAGAGATCAAATGGAAAAATACAGATTTTTTAAAAAACTGTAAGCAACAAGTGAACTTCACATTTATAAGAACGTAAGAAATCCCATTATTTACCCATTGAAACCTAAGTTCACAAAACACCATTATAGAACAAGAAATGGTATCTTAACAATATTATCCTATAGAAAGGCTATTATTTTTCTTAGTACCAGGAATCGAACTCAGAACCTTATGTTTGCAAGACAGGCACTGCACCACCTAGCTAAATCCCCAGCCTGAAAGGCTATTTTTAAAATTCTTTTTAACTGTTCTAGCATAACATAACTTTTCAACTATAAAAGATGCATTAAAATTTTTCTTAGAAACTATATACAAACATGAAGTTTATACAGGGAGATCTTTTTCAAATGGGAAGAGGAACAAGAGATTGAGGGGAGGAGGAAGGGAAAAAGGATTAAAAAAAGAACTGAAGAAAAAATGGAAATAGAGCTTTTTCAAATGGGAAACGGGTCAAGAGTTGGAGGGGGCAGGAAGGGATGGGAGGGGATAGTGACAAAAAAGAATTATGTACATGTACAAACTCCCAACAAAAAACGTTATCACTATGTACTGCAAACATGTACTAATAAAAATAAAGAAACAATATACAAACAAGAGGCATAATTATTCCCAACTACACTACTAGAAGATCCTTCTCGAGTTTGAGAAGGATCTTCCCTTTTTACTGGTTGTTCTTGTTCTTAGCGTGTGCTAAGATATGCGATTTCAGGTTAGCTGACTGAGCAAATCTCTTGTTACAGCCCTCAAAAGGGCACATGAAGGGCCTGTCCCCTGTATGAATTCGCACGTGAGTACGCAAATTGAAATCCAGGGAAAAGCGTTTCCCACAGCCTTCAAAGATGCACTGAAAGGGCTTCTCTCCAGTATGAACCAGCTGATGTCGTTTAAGTTTTGAGTTCTCAAGAAAACCTTTGCCACATTCTGCACATATGTGGACTCTGGGACCATGGGTGTGCAGATGTTTTCTCATAGCACTGCTACTCTTGAACATCTTTGTGCAGCCTTCTTGAAGACAAGCTACAGTTCTCGGAATACCATCTTTGGGTTTTTTGGCCGTCATTTTTGTAAATTCTGCCAACTGTTTGGGATCAGAGAGGTCAAGGCCAGGTATTCCTTCAGGAGGAAGTTTCTTCCCTGTCATGTATTCCGAATAATCAGGAGTTGTGTTTTCAGTCTCTCCGCAAATGTCTATCGCAAGATCTCTTTCATCGCTTGAGGATGACAAGATGACAGGGAACACCTCCTTCAGGGTTTGGACCTCTATCTGTTTCTGCTCCCAGTTCTCGCTGCCCAGCTCGGAGCTGCTGCCTCTTGCCCCGGCCTCACCGCTACTATCCTTTTCTTTGTGCTTCTTGCTGTGACTGCTGTGCTCTGTGCCGTGATCAGAGGGTGGTGTTGTGGCAGAGAACGGCAAAGAGACGGGAACTGGCTGAAAGAAATTGTTTTCATCGTCGACTGGGATGATCACTTGGCCCTCGAACTCACTGTTGATCTGCGGACTGTCTATGTCGCAATAGTCCACCACCTCCTCTCGGGTTTCCACCATGATGAATTCTTGGTCGTGGTCACTATAGCTCACATTACTGGTGTCAAAGGGCTGCAGTGCAATCAGAGGCGGGTAACGATAGCCACCGTGGACCCAACTGTCAACGGTATCCTGGTATAAGATGGTCTGCATCCCGCCGGTGTCCCCAGGAACCGCCTCCACATCTACCTGTTGCAGCTCCAGGAGTTCTGAGGGCAATTCCAAATCTTTGGTGAGGTAGATATTGTCGTCTGAGGCCATGACCGAAACCTTTGTAGTGGTCTTGACTTCTGGCAGCCGTAAGTGGTCAGAAAGCCGCGGAGAGGAAAGACAGAGGGGAGAAAAGCTGCAACTCCACACAAAAGTGTGGGCCTAAGAAAGCCCACACCTCAGGAAAGCTCCAGCTCCATAGAAAGGTGCCGGAGAATGAGACGGAAGAAGCACGTGCTTCTGGGAACTCCAAACGCATGCGCCCAGGCACCTCAGTACCTCACGCAAGTGCCCGGGCAGTTGCGCCCGGGCACCTCACGCATGCGTCCGGACACGTCACGCAAGTGCTTTCTGCCGCCCAGCAGAGTGCGTTCAGGGTGTGTACTCACTCAACCACACACAGTTCTGCTTGCTGTGCTTGAGTTAAACCACTCCGTGTATCACTTAGCTGTTGTTGATTGAATATTAATTTCACAACCAGTTTCTTTACTCAAATTTTCTGTACTTCACCCCCCAATGAGGCTTATAATAATATCTGAAAAAAAGCCTTTGCCTTTTTAATATTTACTTCTTTATTTCCTTTTTATTTAATTGCACTGTCCCGTGTTTACAGACCAACATTTAATACTTGATAGCAGGATTATCTTACCTATTTATATGAATGCTACTAAATGTTATATCATTATGATATACCTGCCTATTCCTACTTTTACTAAGGATTTGTTCAAAACCATTAATGGATGTTTAAATCTGTTAAATATTGTCTCATATTCTGAGATAAGGAATATTATTCCCCCAATGGCAATTATTTACCACAAATAGATTTTTCCAACACTGAACTATCCTTGGATTTTTGGGCTATACTATGTATCTGCAGATTTTTTTGTGCTTTTACACAAAAGATATATCAGTGTCATATTGGTTTTAAAAAAATCTTATCCAGGCACGGTGGTGCACACCTGTAATCCCAGCATTCTGGGAGGTAAAGGCAGGAGGATTTCAAGTTTGAGCTCAGCCTAGACAACTTGGGGAACTAGAAAAATAAAGAAAGAAAGAAAGAAAGAAAGAAAGAAAGAAAGAAAGAAAGAAATTTTAAAAAGGCTGGGGATGTACCTCAGTGTGACAGACGGCCCTGGATTCAATTCCTAGTACAAAAAAAAAAAATCTTAATTTCCTTCTCTAAGCTATCTGGAAGGTTATGCTAAAGTGGATTTTTGTTTCTTTGTTTTGGGTCTCACTATGAAGTTCAGGCTGACCCTGCACTATGTAGCCGAGGCTGGCCTCGAACTTGCAGTGATCCTCCTGCCTCAGCCTCCCAAGTGCTAGGATTACAGAATGTGCACCAGCATGACTGGCTACTTAACTATTTTATAGCTTTGTTCATATTTCTTAAGTTGAATGCTTAACTGATTCATTTCTATTTCTAATTGCACAGTAAGTCCCTAAGGCAGTACATTTTTCTTTTAGCAAAACTTTATATGTAAATTATTCCAGTAAAATGATTTCATTATCATCATTTATTAGATATACTGCAATGACATTTTCAAATTAAATTCATCCAAGGGGTAAGATAAATTTATAAATTGTAGGTTGTTTACTTAGGTTCCTAGTAGTACTCTTGGTAATTTATTGAGGTCTTCTCTGTGAACTAATACATGCTCATTTTTTGAGTTTCATGGGCACTTGAAACTGTTTCCTGTATTCATAGTACATAGTTTGACTTACCTATTTTTACTTTACTAATTACAGGTTTCATGGCCTGACTTTTTATGCTTATCTTCCATATTTTTTTTTTTTTGGTACCGAGGACTGAACTCAGGACCTTGTGCTTTCGAGGCAGGCGGCAGAACCACTGAGCTAAATCCTGGGCCCTATCTTCCATATTTTGAGAGACAATTAGCTTTGTTAAATTTGTTTCTGCGTGAACTTTTTCCAGTTTTGTTTTGTGTTTTGATGTTTTTTATTATTTGATACAATATTCAGAATCATTAAATTTTAATGACAGCTTACATTCGTGATTAAGTGACATCCCTTATGTCTAACTGAATGCTTTGTTTTATTATTGTTCATTTTCTCACAGTATAGTCTGCTCATTATTTTACTTCCCATCTTTTTGAGTATTTTTTGATGAATTTCTTTTATACATCACAAATTTAGGATCTTTTTAATCCAAACTAAGGGCATGTTTCTTTTCTCTTTACTTTTTTGTAGTGCTGAGGATCAAGCTCAGGGCCTCAGGAATGCTAGCCAAGCACTCTACCACTGAACTACAGCCCCAGCCCAGCATTTTCTTTTCATAGGAGAGCTTATCTCATTTATATATATTAACTAAATAAATGCATTTTGGTCTTTTAGGTTTGTTACCTTGTTTTAATTTTGCTTTACGATCTATTTCTTTGGTCTGTTTCATGTTTTTACTCTGATAACCTGGAAGGTTTATATGTGTTTTTAGATCTTGTAGTGTTTACATATAAGCCTCTATTTCTGACCTGTCAACTTCAGATAGATTTTCTCTTCATTAAGTGGAGGAAATTAGTACTTCACAGACTTCTTGGTTTTACTTTTTCCACCTCCAGTTTTTTGGTTAGTGTCTTATACTCAAGGGTGTTCAAGAATTTTAATTCTACACTTGCTTAGCTTAAGTCAGTGATGGTGAACCTTTTAGAGCTTTATTACAAATAGTCACTGTGGCCTGTGCGCCATAGGTTTACCACCACTGGGCTAAGTTATTCAATTTAAAGAGATGCAGGGTTGGGCTGGGGGATTTAGCTCAGTGGTTCTGGTGCCTGCCTCACAAGGGCAAGGTCCCGAGTTCAATCCACGGTACCAAAAAAAAAAAAAGAAAGAAAAAAAGAGATGCAGGATTGTGATAGATTTGTATTGTATCAATTTAGCTCAGATAGATCTGTGTCTCTCAACAGTTCTTCCCTACATAGCTATATATCTTCAAGTAATTGTTTTTCTGAAATTTGACAATGCTAGAGTGCACTATTCATCCCTGCATACTATGTCTTCTCCATTCCTGAATTAGTTTGTTTTACCTCTTGGTTGTTTATATTCTCCTTTGATTTGAGAAAATTTCCTTATATTTCAGCTGAGCTGACATTCTCCATAGCTTGTAATTTCAGGTTTTGGTCATTGTTTTTGCTTCAGTGAGAGTGAAGTTTTTTTGTTATTTTTTAAAATTTAGGTTGTTTTTAGTTTGTTTTAAAGAGAAAATTGGTATGTAAATTGTTTTTCTATATATATACTTTTGAGGGAGTCTACTAAAATAATTTTTTTGTGTAAGTACTTTCCACTAAAACACTAACCACAGAAAACTAAAACCACAGATGAACATTTAAAAAAAAATCTGTTACCTGCACAAAATATCCTTAGCTGCTGGACTGGTGATATAAGTTGTAAATGGGTGGTGAACAGATCAACAAATGCTCCAGGATATATAATGAAGAGAAAAATCCCAAAGCCATTAAATCGAACTTGTTCCCTAAGAAATCACACAAGAGAAAGGAATTTACTAATTAATGCTATAGCATTTATCAAACTAATAATGTAGGTAATCTTAAAATTCATTGTAATTCAAATTCTTGCTTAAGAAATAAAGTCTCCTTGAATAACTGATATATCATTTTATAATAGTGTCATACAGATTTGGTTATTTGTGAAATTAAATTTTATAAAATAAGGCTAAGGACATTCTGAAAGAGACTTACAACTTCAAAATTTAAAAAGCCAATATGCTGAATAAATAACAAATTAGTCACGTATATAAAGTAATGGTTAATAATTCTATGTGAAACTAAATGATAAATATTTTTATGTTCTACTATGAACTATTTTCAGAGAAACACATAGAAGAATATATAATTCAAGTAAATTATCTAAATTCTATTTGTCTTAGCTATTATGAATAATGGTGGACATTTAGGTAAGTGTATTCCTACTGTACTAACATTAAGATAAGTATATTTAAAAATGTATAATGCCCAGACTGTCCTTAATAGGACTATTTCATCATTTCATTTTCTAAAAATGCACATTATATTTAATAGTCTCATAAGACCAAACAGCCACCCCCAAAAAAGCATCACCTTAATATATTGTGCTGTCAATACTAAATCTATAAGGCAACTAATTATACAATCTATTTTTTGTTGGCAATGGGGATTTTATTAAAAATTACCTATTATTTCATAAACATATTATAAATTATTAAACTGTTAATATCAGTACTGCTATATGTAAAACCCTAAAAGCTAAAAATGTAGAAGCAAAGGTAAAGGGAATTTGAAAAAAAAAAGGTAGCCTCCCCTGTGAATCACTACTTTGCACTCCCATGTAACAGTATATGTTCAGTCAAGATGAAGTTTTATTGCCAGTCAATAGACTCTTGTTCATAAGAACTGGAAAGTAATAAGAAGCAATTAAACTCTCTCCTCTAAAACAACGGTTCTCCTTTTTGCTGGTGCATACAGCGGAAGGATAAAACACATTCCTGTGAGCATGCTTGTGACTGTTGTAGTACTTATCAATGGGGTGGCAGGAAGAGTTGAATCTGTGCTGCCGAAGTGAGCACAACCAGGAAGAGTTGTGACATGTTCCCTTTCAATCATGATTTTATAAATTTCACAGGCTTTTAAGTGCTCAGGTATAATCAGAATGATAGATTTGGGTAATCAAAACTACCAACAGGACAAGACACTCAAAGCAAGTCCTAGGTCTCATCCTCTTCTATTTGTTACTAGATAGGCTATGTTAATTGTTAAACCCCTAGTTTTTTTGCTCTAGCCAGTGGAGGACATGAATAGGAGCAGGAAATTATTTCAGCTGATAGGCTGAAAAAAAGTACTAAGGTGCAGAGGAGAAGGGGTTGAGTAGGGTGGCCATTATTCCAATCCAATGATGCAAAGATTAGCTTTCAAGGTTGAATGAAAAACCTTGAAGCACCACGAAGGTATACTGGCAACACCATACTGTCACCATACTGGCGACAAGCAAAGGATAGAAACACTCAGATTAAAGATGTGACATGGTTAATTGAGCATATTCATCAATATATTAATCTTCTCTATTAAAGAGATGTTTCAAAGTAATACATGATATGTACTGGGTAATATCCCAGAAAGACAAATAGTTATCAGATACAGCAGATTTTAATACTAAGCCCTCTTAAAAGCATCTTTGTATGTAGTAGAAAAAAGGTAAATATCATTACCTAATAGCTGCTATCCCATGTCCAATTTCATGTACAACACCACTAATGAGAACTGCAGCGAAGAAATAGGTCAGTTGATTGACAGGTAAATTTATACCAGGAACCTGTTCACAGACACAATATGGCAGCAATTGTCAGTGGGGATGCATGGGAGCCCCAACTGGGCACCAAAAGACATGATATTCATTTTGTACTAAAGTTTAAACTGCCAAACTGAATGTTCCTTAAACTGAGAGTAATATGACTATTAATGATTCACTTCTTGAGATATTTATACTATAATATAAAAGCAAAAACATGTTTTTTTTAAGTAGGCAATTTCTCTGGAACAAACACAACCAACATAAAGAGAATAGGAAACACCAGGTTAAAAAGTTTTAATTCTAGCTTCCTGAAGTCTTCACCATGGGAAAGAATGAAGGAGCCCAGTAAGTGTCAGGGAATGCAGAGTACCAGTCAATGAAGGAGGCAGCAGCTGATCCACCCTCAAAGGCTGGATGCTCGTTTTGAGAATTCTTATTAAAATTTCGAGTCCTTCCTCTGCATTGTTACTGCAAAGGTCCAAGCACTTCTGTTGAGTCATACAGGGAAACCACTTCCCAAATCAGCCAGTTTTGTTTCAATATTCTCAAGTTATAGGACAATTGGTAGTGAAAGCTAGTATATAATAAAGCACTTGCTCAGTGTGTGGGAGAATCATACCCTTCATTCCTATTTCAGCAGTTTGCCCATTATACTCTGTGCACATAACCAGCAACCTCATTTTTTTTCTTCCAAGGTTCTCTATGATTTAAAGCTTTAATTCTAACTCTAGTGGAATTTATTTTTGTGCTGCACAGAAGAGGAATTTAATTTTTTTTACCTCCTTTTGAAGCGGAGAGTCACAGAATGCTGCTTGGATCATTTTCTAAATTCCATTGATTCCAAGGGTCCATTCTCTGGTTATGAAACTATTTTCATAACTATCAATCTTAATGTATGCACAATGCTTCATTAGTCTGACCCTACTGATAACTTTTTTCACAAGACCATTGTCTCTCTTTCTATATACATGCTCCATTCCCACGTTTTCAGGCATCTGTTTGGTTCAGTATTATTTTCTGAGTCCTCTCTAATTTCATGTCCCTAGGATTAATTCTCATACACACTGCTTATCTCACAAAATATCCTGGTTACCTTACTTTATTTCAAATAAATAAGTAACCTTTATACAATCAGATATTTGTTCCTTTTATTTATTATTTTCTGGATATAATAATGAAGAGATGAGGAAGGAATCTGAGTGTGACTATACCAACAGATGGTAGGTCTTATTTGCTGGCAACAGTACAAGATCACCCATCTGCCTCTGCCACGATTGCACAGGGTATTAGATGTATCAGAATAGTGAATACATCTACTTTCAACAACACAGAGGGCCAGGATTTTGGGAATCAATACTGAACAAGGCTGCAAAGAATTCTGGAATAAACAGAAAGTATGTTTTTTAAGATACAGGGTTTACATCAAAGTCAAGACATATGACATTCTTAAATTATACCAACTCCATACAAGGAATGTAAATACTATGTACTGCAAACATGTCCAAAAAAGAAAAGAAGGGGCTCAAAGGATGGGTTGAGTGGGAAGGGAGTGGAGGGAAAGGGGATGAGAAAAGGAATTAAGATGTGCTATGTGCACGTACCAACTCCCCACAAGGAATGTAAACATTATGTACTACATACATGTAATAATAAACTAAAAAAATTATACATAACTATGCACAGTGGACTAGAGGGCTGCTGACTTAATAGTTCCAAAGCACTGGGTTAACAGCATCAGTATTTTTGTGAGCACCATGAATAAACTGAAAAGCAAAGAGAAGAAATAATTTCTAATTGTAATTCTAATGTTGCCGTTCTAACTTTAACAGACAACGTCAATGATCATATTTCTTCCACACAGGTTTCCTTCTCTCCTATCTTCTTTCTTGGTGAACAATAACCAGTCCTGCCTGTAACCTGAGAATCATCCTAAAGTTTTCCTTCTCCCTCTAGCCTCATTTAATTAATCACTATGTCTCAGAACTCTATTCCATAGGATCTCTTGAATCCATCCCATTCACTCTCCTCATCACTAATTTAGTTTAAATCCATGTCACTTCTCACACAAATTACCCCAACTGCCCTACTAAATGGTCTCTCCATGTCAGTCTAGCCACCTTTGGTCTATTTTGTACAAAACTGAAACTTCTTAGAATGGTCTTTTATAACCTAGGCTCTACCTATACAGTGTCTCTCATCTTGTCTCCTGTGCTGTCCTGTTCTCTTGCCAATACTCCTATCCATTCTTCCATGCTACACTTCATGGACACAGGTCAAAATTATTTATACTCCCTTGAAAATTATTTGTCTTTCTTAAGAAGAGTAGAACATAATGATGTGTAGATTCTAAGGTCAGCGATGACAGAACTACTATTTACCAGCTGTGACGACACACAAGTGGTTTAATCTCTCCATGCTTTGATTTTCTCATCTGTAAGTCAGGAAGAACACCAATATCTTGGGATTGTTGCAAGAATAAAATAATGACCTTGAGACCATAAAGTTAAGTGAAATAAATTAGATATGCAAGCTTAAATATCACATGGGTTCTCTTACATGAGAAACTCAGAGTAAAAAGAAAGAGCAAAATAAAAGATAGATAATAGGAAGTAGGGAGATAGATCTTTCTGAAAGGGGAAGGGGATCATGAGATGGAGGGAGTGGGGATAGGGCATGAATAAAAGGAATTGGCATGTGTTATGTACACGTACCTACTCCACACAAGCAATGTAAACATTAAGTACTGCAACCATGTACATAAAAAAGGAGGATCCAGAGATGAGGAGAGGGGGAAGGGAGGGAAGGGGGATGAAGAAAGGAATTAAGATGTGTTATGTACATGTACCAACTTCCCACAAGGGATGCAAACACCATGTACTACACACACGTACTCATAAACTTAAAAAATTAAAATATGCAGGCACAGAAACCTCACACAAAGCACCGCATGTTAACTAGATTTTATTAGTACTATGGCCATACCCTCTGCATGTCCACATTATGTATATCGTTCCCTCAATTACTGGGATGCTCAATTTTCATCTTCCTTTTCTAGATTATGTGGACTTTCCTCATCCTCCTGTTGAAGTTTTATTTTCTTTCCACCAGGCAAACCTTGTACTCCTCTGTTCTCACAGCACCTTGTATGATGCCCATTTGTAGCATAATCATAGCAGCTCTACTTAGAGACTGAAAGCTCCACGAAAACTAGGATTGGATTCTGTTCCCGAATAAGCAGGACACAGCACACAGCTAGTAAGCAGAGTATACCCAGTAAACATTTGCCTAAGAAATAAATCATATCTTCTGTAGCCTCACCTGGTGAACCTTTTTTACCTCTAAGAAAGACCTATACCATTCTTTATTGTTCTCTACAAATGACTTCCAAATCTCTCCATAATAACACAGCATAGCAGAGGCCAAAAAGAGACACTTTTATAAAAACTTGTTACTCTTTTTATAAAGTTTTATTTTATTTTATCCCATTCCCTCTCCCCTATGTACAAAAGCTTTGTTTCCACTTTTTCTTCTATTTTCTGTTACTAACTCTTAAACAGTCTATTCTGTTAATAAGAATGTGATTAAAAATATAACATCCATAACTCATGGAATGGGAATATAAATGTAAAAATGTGAAATAAAAGTGAGCCAATGCGAAGCTCCTTTCTAAACTCTAGAGACAAGAAATGATAAGGTATAGGTCCACATGTGTGCTTTGACATGATAATTATTATAAATAGCCTACAGTTACAGGAGCACAACTCAGCACATTATTTTTTACATCAAGAAATCACAGTGTCCATTCAGAAAGGTTTTACACCTTTTTTTCCCCCAATGCTGGGGACTGAACCCAGGTCTTTGTGCATGCATACAAAGCAAGCACTGTACCACTAGGTTACACCCTTAGCCCTAGTCCCATATCTTTAATTAAAAGGGTATTAGCTGGGCATGGTGGCACACACCTATAATCCTAGCACTCGAGAGAGGCTGAGGCAGGAAGATTGTTTTGAGTTCAAAGTCAGCCTGGGCTACATGATGAGTTCAAGGGAAGCCTGAACTACACAGCGAGACCCTGTCTCAACAAAACAAAACAAAACAAAACAACAACAACAACAACAACAAAAAAGGGTATTATTGGTTTGGTTAGGCTCTGAAAGCCATGAAAATGACAGAGGATACTTTGTGTAGGATTAAAATGCAATTTATCTACACATCATAGAGATCTTAAATCAGCATGGTTATTCTTTCAAACAATCACTTAACATCTTAAGAGGATATCATGAATTAAGCTGAATAGCTAATAATTGCTAACAGTCTTGATAGTGGTGCATTTGTTCTCTGGTACAACTACCAATACCACACCAAATATTTATTGCAACGATTCTGGCTAATTACTTAATGTTTTTGTTGAAGCAGGTAATTTGAAGAATTGTGGGACTTTCATTTTCATGTTTATATTATGGAAAACAATTATATTAGCCAGAAAAAATATCTTGCATCTATATGTCAACAAAGTTACTTAATGCACAAAGAAGGGACTTACCACAACTTGTAGCACCTGTTCATTATGAAGAGCAGAGGAAGAAGAAGATGATGAAGAGAATGAGGAAGAGGACGAAGAGGAAGAAGAGGAGGAGGAAGAATAAGAAGGAGAGTCAGCCATCATCTGTGCCAAAGTCTGGATCAGTGTTTTTCCAAGGAGGAAAAAAGAGCTGAACATGGCAATTACGCCAAACACCATTCCAAAATTGAACCTGTCAAGAGGAAAAAACAAATCACATAAATGTATGATTCTTCACAATATATGGACTAACAAATTCAGCGACCAGCCACACTTCCATAGTTTTAAAATAAGGGCTAAAAATTTCAATAACTGTTTTTCCTCTCTGAACTTCAAATACTTGAAGTTTGGCACTAGCTAGGTTCATTAAGCAGTTTTAATAAATTACAAAATTTCCTGGTACCTAAAGAAGCTGAATATCATTTCTAATTTAAAAAGTGTGTTTTTGGCTGGGGGTAAAGCTCAGTGGTAGCATAGCATGTGTAAGGCCTTGGGTTTGATTCCTAAAACTGCCAAAAAAGAAAAAAACAAAACAAAACGTGTTGCCTCTTATGTATTTACTTATTTACATAGCATTGTTTGTTGATCTTGCTCTAATATAGTTAGGAAACTTAAAATTATACATTTCCATTCTTTATCATCTACCTATTCTATTGTCTGCATTGTATTTTAGCTTTACTATGTGATAAATGAATTTAAATATTAATATGGCAAAATTTAATAGTAGGTCCTTTTTTAACTTTTAATTAAAAAAATACTCTTCCATAGTTGGGAATAATTTGTTACATTTTCTAATTCTTTGATAAATTGCTTTTCAAGGAAGTTATTTCATTTAAATAGTCAGATTTGGACTTTTGTTTTGTTTTGTTTTTTGTTTTTTTGGTACCAGGGATTGAACTTGGGTCCTTGCGCTTGAGCAGCAGGCGTTGGAACCACTGAGCTAAATCCCCGGCCCAAATCTTGACTTTTTAATGGACTTTTGTACAAGGGACCATTCACTGCTGTTTTGGTTTTTTAAATCTCTTGAATTTAGCTCTTCAGTGGCTACTTATATTGTACTCACTTTATATTTTCTATTGCTAAATAGCAGAGAACTACACTTTATATAAACAATTTTTGCATTTGTTTGTTGAATAATGCATCGTCAGTAAAATATTTATATGCATAAATGGCAAAGGAAAGAAATAATATATATTTTTATGTTTTTGAACAATATTTTTTAATGTATACCTATCTTGTGGAAGAGTATGCAGGTAAATAAGACCATGATTTTGTAAAGTAGCATGTTAGAATTTTTGTTTTTGTAAATGGTGGAATACATTTCCTGGGTAACTTAAAAAATTAAGTTGCTATGCTCTAAGGCAAGAGACAGTTAAACTAATCCTCATGAATACCCAAAGATAATGTACATAATCTTAAATAGGTTAGTACCATCCCAAGCTCACTTGATGTGTATAGTTCTTTAACTCAAAAGTGCAAATACAAGTGTATAGCACACTTTCTCCTTTTTAAAAACAAGTCAAAAAGCCATTTTTCAGAACTAGAGAATTCTAAAGGCTAGAAATTAGGGTCTGTATATATGTATATTTGGGACATTTTATCTTCTGGCCCAAAGTCAGAACTGTTATAAAAATCTTGGATTTGTTCACTAACGTGAAATAAGCCGTGTGTCCAGGGTATTGCCCCCCTGAATGCTTGAGCGCCATGTAGTGCTGCAGAGAATGTGACGAGTTTTCACTGTCACTCTTCTGTAGAACATAGGGGCTGCTTTTAAAATTACTCTCACTGTGGGGACTTTACCAAAATACTTCCATGTCAGTTATTTGAACTCAGTGGTAGTTTGGCCTAGTAAGATATTGTATGTTTTCAAGTTTGTTGAATAGTGTTTGACAGTTCTGTAAATTAGATTAACTTTGTAGGTCTTATAGCCTCATTTTCTTGTAATATTTGGGACAACATGTTTGATATAAGCATTTAAGCTCCTTGTTTCAGTTGGTAATTACTTTTACATTGAAATAAATTGTAGTTGTGCCTCCAAAAGAAATAAATTGTCAAATCTATAGTTGAATTGTTTATAATGGAGTATGTATGTATGTATTTATTGACTGATTCATTGAGATAGGGTCTCACTATGTAGTTTAGGCTGGCCTTGAACTTACTATGCAGCCCAGATGGCCTTGAATTTGTGGCAATCCTCCTGCCTCCGCCTCCCAAGTGCTGGGATTACAGGTGCACACAACCATGCCTGGCTCGTTATTATTTATTTAATGTCAATAGAATTCTGATTTTTAGTTACTGTGTTTTCTTTTTTTCTTGACTGGTCATAGTAGGGATTTATTAATCTTTTCAAAGAATCAACTTTTGGCTTTGCCAATTCACTATATACTTTCTATTTTACTGATTTCTGTTCTTCATTATTTTTTTCTTTCTACTTTGTTGCATTTTCTGCTAACTCTTTGATAATCTGATTGTTTACATTTAGCTCTAATCTGCTTGGAGCTGTAGTTTTAACAAAATGGAATTTAGACCATGCTACCCACCAACCCCACATTCTCCAACTACAGAAATTGTCAGGATCTTATGTGCTCCACAGATCATCATGAACCTCAGACCATAAAACACCATAAATGCTTTATCTTTTAATGTCATCAAAAGCACGATACAATCCCATGTTTCTAAAAAAGTTTTTCTGTGAATATTTTAAAACCCAGTAGACCAAAAATAATGGAAATAATTAATATAACAAATTATCTCTCACTACCTCCTAACTAATTTAAACCAAAAAGAGAAAGTGAAGAGTACCATTGGTAAAGCATCCTCGCTTTCCGCCGTCCCCAAGTATAAAAGGCACGATTGAAAACTGCAGTTTGCCATCTTATGTGAAAAGGGGAGATGCTCAATCCATTGTTTTCCAGCCAGTCTTCATAAGAATGCTTAAAATAGACAGATGACTAAGAAAAAAAGAAAAGTTTCACATCAATCAATTTTGAAGAACAATTTATAATGTACAAGGAAATTTAAAAAGTATTTTTTACAAGAAAACAAGATGCTGATTGCTCAAATGCTTATACTCTTGAAGCTTTAAATTTATTCTTCAGAGTATTAAAAGTCTCAAACTAGCTCAGGCGCTCAGGTTAGGGTGTGGCAAACACAGCCCACGGGCCAAATCCATCTTACAGCCTGTTTTCATAGAGATTGTGAGCTAAGAATAGTTTCTACATTTTTATGAGATTATAAAAAAGACAATAGCCTGGTGTGGTGGTGTATGTCTGTAATCCCAGCACTTGGGAGGCTGAGGGAGGAGGACTGCTGCAAGTTTGAGACCAGCCTACGCTACATGGTGAGTTCGAGGTCAGCCTGAACTACATAGCCAGGCTGTCTCAAAAGAAAAAAAAAGGTCACAATGAACAAGAATATGCAACAGAAATCTTGTGATTCACAAAGCCTAAAACACTATCTAGTTTTTTACAAAAGAATTCTGTTGATTTCTACTTACAACAGTGTTGTCGAATACAAATATAATGTGAGCCACAAAGGCAAGGTATATATGCAATTTTAAATTGTCTAGTAGTCAAAATTTTTTTTTCCTGTACCGGGGATTGAACTCAGGACCTTGAGCTTGCCAGGCAGGTGTGGCACCACTCTGGTAGCCAAATTTTAAAAAGGAAAACTAAAGATTCATTTTCATATATTTTGACTCCTAATACCCAATATATCATTTCAACATGTAGTCAATATAAAAAGTTATTCAGATACCTTTTTGGTATTCTTTGAAAGCTGGAGTCAACTTTACACTTAGAGCACATCTTTATTCAGACTAGCTCCATTTCAAATGCTCAATAACCACATGTGTAGTCAGTAACTACCGTGTTGGACGGCATAGATGACCTTGCTGTCACAGAAAGGAAAGAGGTCTAGTGTTCTACTTTTAAAAGACCTCCAGTCAACTCAACAGAAGAAACAAGTTAGTTGGAATTAGTGCTTTCTTCTTCTGAGGAAGCCCTAAGTTACACCAACTTTCATCAAGTAAAAGGACAAAATTTACCTAAAGCCATTTTGGTCTTAGTAAAAATCTAAATTCCCCAGGGTTGTGGGACTAGCTGCTTATACACAGCCAGAGAGTTTTATCTTTAGGAAAGTATGAAGTCCTTGACTAATGTAGGATGTGGATAACATAAGGCTGTGTTAAATATCTGACAATTACATAAGTGCTGTAAATATTGTCATAAATGATGTCCATCTATGTGAGAAACTTATTTGTTCTAGAAGGCTATACTAGGCCTATCAGTCATTTAAAAAATGGCCAGTCTGAATACAGGTATCTCTTGGCTTTGAATCTGTAATGCTTTCTGAACTCAGTCTTCAGGTAGCTTTTCAAATCTGTTAGTTTTTCCAAGACTTGAAAAAAAGAGTGACACATTCCTCCAGCAGATGTCTACTGCAGAAATCCTAGAAAATCCAAGAGTGGAACAGCACATGAACCTAGAAGCAGAGAAGCTTAAGGTACAGGCTCCTAAGAGCTAAAGTCTCTCCATTCCCCAAGCAGATACTCTAAATGAGTGTTAGGTCTTTTGCTTAGGGATTAGTGGGCTCATAGGAAGCTAGGGGCTGTCACTGAAAGTGACGTCACCTCACACCCTTGACCAGAGACTGTACAAGTTTCACAGGTTATTTTTTCACATATGCAACATGAGGAAATCATGTGGCTTCTCCTCACTCCCTCCCCCAAACAACAAAATCATGTTGGGTATGTAGCTCAATAGTAGAGCACTCTAGCTTGTCAGAAGCCCTGGGTTCAATACCCAGCACTGCAAAAACAACCCCCAAATCCTCTAATACCACAAACAAAATTACTGTGGCCTGTACTTATGACATACTAAGCATTACAGCAAGTCCCTGACATCAGTGTTCTCAAACATCAATGTGCAGAGGCATCACTCAGTAATCTTGTTAAGATGCAGACTGATTCTGTAGGTCAGCAGCAAGGCCTCAAATTCTAACAAGCTCCCAGATCATCCAAGTGCTAATGGTCCTTGAACCTCAGGTAGCATGCCTTTACATTAGTGGATGCCACTAATGCATTCCTCTCTATAATCTCAGGAAATCCTTCCTGTTATTATCTCTATTTAAAGATGAGAAACCAAAGTACAGGTAGTAATTTGCCCAAGGTCACAATGGCTAGGAAGTGGCAGAAGTTCCAGTGATGGTGAACCTTTCTGAGCTTTCAATGATACAAACAGCCCATTGTGGCATGAATGCCATAGGTTCACCACCACTAGAGCCCTAAGGACTTACACTGTATAAACTTTAGCACTTAGCAGGTTTAAATATGACAAAGAAGCACAAGTACCATTTCACTTTGTTATGTCTAAGACGCACAATACTACACCATTCTACTTAAAACTGTATTCCTAACATGAAAGTTTTACTATCCGTAATTGTTATTTTGATTAAACCTTTGAGAATTTATGCGATCTTATTCCACACAAATAGTTACAACCACTCCCCAGTACTGTATTCAGTTCTAAAAAGTTACCTGGAACATGTGAACCAGACAACTGTTACTTATTTTTTGCTACCATTCCCAAATAACTGAAAAATGAAGGATGTACCCAGGTTGTGTGTGACTAGTGAAGAAGGTGCAGGGTGCAAATCAGAATTTGAATAGTAGAAAACCGGTTATCTAAGTCCTTGTTGCTTGACTGTGCTACTTTGAAGAATGGTCTGTGGATCAGCAGCATCAGTTTCACTTGGGACCTGGTTGGAAGGGTAAATCATAGGCCTGGCCCCAGACCTTCTGAATCAGAATCTATATTTTAACCGGAATCCCGGATGATCATATGCACTTTTGAATTTGAGACCAAGGATTTTAATCACGACTTGATTTAGATTCGTTCCAAAACCAAAGTATCTAGAGAGTTGTAACCTTGAAACAATAAGGAAAAACAGTGCCTTTCCTAAGTGAACGTTTTCTTTCTCTCCCCACACGCTGCTGCTGTGGGGTCCAGGAAGGCCCAGCTCTCCCTAACCCATCCCTGGGGCCTCCCGGGCAGGAGCCAAAGGCTGCGGGGTCCGATCGCCCGCAAGCGGCAACCGCCGGGCAGCCACACCCCTCCCTCAGCCAGCCGCGCTTGATTTACTCCGCCGGGCCGCTAAGCCACGCGGAAGGCCGCACGTGGGCACGGATGGTGCGGCTTCCTGCCCGGGAAGCGCTCGCCAGGAAAAGAGAAAAGGCCTTTGGCGACAGAGGACCTTGCGTTCCGGTCCTGGACACCGCCGGCCAGGGACTTAGGCCCGAGGCCCTCACCTTCAGCACCAAATCGGTCAGGTAGACGGCAGCCCAGCCACCCACCACTAAGACCACCAGCGACATCGGAATCATGGCGGCAGCGGAAAGAAGGCGAGTGCCGGGGTCCACCTCTCTGCGAGCCGCAAACCGTCCCGTGCTTTATTGCCACAAAATCGGCGCAGGAACTAAGTTGTCTCCGGGTCTTTTGCCGCGGTGGCGACGTTTCCCTCCGGAGCCTTCCCCTGAACACACACGGGCAGATTTGGAAGTACGGGAAAATGGCGTAGGGGTCTATTTTCGTGCGGCATTAGGGCGCCGCCGTCAGGCGTGCTGCTTGGCTTTGGCTTCCACCCTTCTAGTGATTTCTTAGGCTTTGGCCCTCCCTGCTGTCTGCTTTCCTTTTTCACTGGTTTTAATTTGGGGTTTGCTGTACTTTTGAATCTAGCAAGTTTAGGGTCGTCTGAAATAATCATCTCTGCTTTCTCTACTATAGGTATCTATGTTTAATTACATTCATCCTTTTTTTTTAACATATAGCAAAATCATACATACAGATTAAAAGTATCAGTTTCGATGAGTTTTGATAGATGTGTAATCCATGTACCCTAATCAAAACAGAACATTTCCACCTCAGGAATATCCTTTTCATTTCCCTTCCCAATCAGTCCTCCCCTGCCCCCATCACCATTCTGATTTTTTTTTTAACTTTATGTAAACAGAATCATGCTTTTTCTGTCTGGCTTATTTTGCTTGACATATTTTTGAGATTTAGCTATGTTGTTAAGTCAGATTTTTTTCTTTAAAGTCTCTTTCATTACAGAGCTTGAGATTAGTCCTACTGTTAAAAATTGGAGTTACAAACTTCTGCACATTATTTTTATGTTGACGTATATCTGATTATATGTTGGACTAGAGCAATGGTTTTCAGCCTGGGCTACACATAGGAATCATCAGGGGCTTTAAAATGCAGCACCCTAAACCAGTTAAATCAGAAGCTCAGTGTAACCTTAGCATCTATACTTTTTAAACTCACAGATGATTCCACGGTACAGCCAAGGTTGAGACCCACCGAACTAGATCATCTCTAATGGGAAGGAAAACCGTGTTCATTGCAGTGAATGTTTCTCATTTTGTTTGTTGTCTTGTTTTGTTTTGCAGTGCTGCAAGCCAGGGCCTCTAGCATACTAGACAAGTGCCATACCATTGAGCTGCACCCCTCGCCCGGGTGCATTCTCACAATGTTCATCTTTGAAAGTTACTTGTTTCTACTTTTCTGGAAAAGCATCATTAGCAATAATAATATTAATACCAAAATATCGAGATTATAATACTATCTTAAGAACAAATATTTCAAACATAAATGTACCCTCAACCCCCTTTAAAGTGAAATTATAGTATAATACCACAAACTTGTATTACAGATGTTGCTGGCAGTTTGCCTCATTTGATTATAGTTTTCTTGTAGTTTTCATCACTTAGCGACATGTTTATCCAGCTTCAAACATTTTATGACTCGGTTTCCCATCTCTGTGCAAATATATGTGTGTATATATTGTTACAAATGCTTTCAATTTTCTTTGGACATAGGGTGTAAATTATAAAAGTTTATATTCAAGCATTATGTGACTCCACAGTTTTCTATGTACAGGTGTCCCAAAAATCTTAGTGCTGTTTTAAGCTTTGAAAATTTATGAAGTATAAATTCAACAAACTTGCAAAAATCACCACTTGAAAGCTTATTTAAATTGCTTTTATGCTTAGTTTTGTGAATTTCAAATAATTTTGAATTTTAAATTTTTTAATCCCTCTAACAGAAGGTGCCAAACGTTGACTGAAACAGAAAATTAAAATGCATTCACTGTTCAAAAATTCACAATACCAAATAAGCATGAAAGAATTTAAATAATTTTTTCAAATATTTTGTGTCAATTCATAGAATGTATATTTCTGAAGTTATTAAAGCTTCAAACTACACTAAGACTATTGGTACACAATAGTGTTAGAATTGACCTTTGCTCTTATATAATGATTTTGTAGTTTTTAACGGTGTTCTTCCCTGGGAGAATAATATTAACTTAAGTATTGAAATGGCTTCTCTTGTTAGCCTGAAGCTTTGTCTGGACCACTTGCTGAGACAAGTACCAGCTACTGTGTTGTTATTTGATAACCTTAAATATGTAGGAAATGAGTTGATTGTGCTTTTCTGTTCCCAGCCTAAAAATTTAGTTATTCAACTGAGTTGGTGTTCTCATCAGGAGCCCAGCAGTCAAAACAAAGCACTGAATTGAATCCTGCTGGTTCCTGAAATTTAGCAGTCGTGGAAGCCAGCTGGTGGCAGCAGAAGAGACCTGACAGAGGATGCACAAAATGACAGCAAAGAATGCTTCATTATAAAAGATCACGGTATTTTTCCACAGAATAAATTTGTGTCTTAATTTCCAAATTATTTCAGGTTTCTGTCAAGTAGCTATTTTAAATCAAGCACACATAGCCAGGCTTTTATTCGTATCATTTTTATTTAGTATATTATTTTTAGAGGGGCACCAAATGTATATTTTAGTTAAATGCAGAACAGCTGTACATTAAAAATCAATATTTGGCTGAAGCAGAATATCATCATCTTACAATAACTTTCTAAGATAAAAGAATATACACAAAATATAGAAATTTTAAGTTGTTTGTATATTACAATTTTATAATTTAAAGTGTTAGTATTTTGGTAGCCATTGTATAATGTATTTATATTTCAAAACAACATGCCATACACAATAGATACATGTAATTTTAATTTGCCAATTTAAAAATATTAGTATTCAAAGAGTATTAAGTTTGATGTTACATTCAGGAGTATTTATTTCTCATTATTGTAAGCCGATATTTTGCTTCTGGGGCTATTACACTCTACATTTATGACACTGAATTGCACCAATCAGGATAAGCTAAGGTGTGCTTTGGAAACAAGCCCTAAAATCCAGTGGCTTTAAACAACAAAGATAGATGTTTGTCTTGTGCACTGTGTGTCCATCATGGGCTAGCAGGATGATCAAGGGGGAGGGTAGCAGGCCAATGGAGTCCCTACCATTAATCATGTCTGCAGCTCAACATGAGGCTTAGGAGTTCACCAAGGCAGGAAAAGAGTTTACTAGGGGATCTACCCCTGGCAATGAAATGCTAATAGCCCAGATGTGCAATGTCACTTACACTTGGGTTTCATTAGCTAAAACTAGTCAGGTGACTGTGCCTAATTAAAAGGGAAGGAGGACTGTAATTCTCTAGAAAAGAACATGCCTGAAAATAAATGTTAGTGTTATCTACTAAATAGGTGCTCCCTTTCACCTAAGGGGGTAGAATAGCAGATAATGTTTGGTTAGCTTTGCTGTCACAGGATACTGCTAGTGTTGGTGTTTCCACGGAATTACTAAGCTTTCCTTTCTGTTTAATAGGAACTAAGGTAAAAATCTTGTTTTGTTTTGTTTTTTTTTGTTTTTTTTTGGTACTGGGGATCGAACTCGGGTCCTTGTGCTTGTGCAGCAGGCAGCGAAACAACTGAGCTAAATCCCCGGCCCTAAAAATCTTCATTGAAAATCTTTCAGAAAGTTTTGTTCTAACTTGCATTTTTAATTTTTAATTTTTTTGCCTGCATTTGGTGCTTTACACAATCACTTGAGTAAAATATGTTCTTAAACCTTGGTTCTGCAAATGTGGCAATGAAATGGTATAATTGATTTTCAAGAAACCAATCATCTTGGTCCTTCCATCTGCATTTCAGTTTCATTGCATGTATTCAGTATCAGTACAATAAGAGTATCTTTCCAGAAGCTATCATGTAAGAAATATTTGCACTCTGAAAACTTTGTTTTTGTTTTTACTTCTTCTATTGAACGAGAACTGAATCAAATTCAATGGTTAGATTCATTGTTGACCTTTTTTTTTTTTTTGGTACCGGGGATCAAACTTGGGTGCTTATGCTTGTGAGGCAGATGGCAGAACCACTGAGCTAAATCCCCAGCCCTCAATGTTGACCTTTTGGGGAAATTTGATTTGGTTCGTGACCAATTTGGTTTGTGACCAGATTCATGGAAAGAATTAAGTTCGTGAACCAAGGCACCACTGTAATTGCTTTTTTGCTTATAGTTCGCAAGGGTGTATGAACAAAACATTGTATGCTTATGGTTCCCAAATCATGCTTAAACTTCACTGTTTACTGTATCATCAATAACAGTTGCATGGCACTCTTCTTTACTAATTTTCCATCACATATATAGTTCTTCAGTAAGAATGTATTATGTTAATAGCTGTATGAGTCCTCAATAATTTCCCAACCATTAAGCACAAGCAGAGTTGAATCTGTTATTAATTCACTATGCCATCTATCTTAAATATGACTTGCAGTTGTTTCTATGTTTCCAAATGTCTGCTGTTCAAAATAAAGTAGTGCATTTAATATCATAGCTTTTAATATTACAGCAGACTACAATTCAAGAAAAGGTTTTCTGATAATTCATGTTTAGAAGGAACTTAAGATTCGTAGCTCCCACATATCTCAATCTTCATCTTCACATACGGAACATAGGCAGTTTTCAGTCCAGTTACTACTGCTTTTAGGCAATCTTTGCCTCAGAGTATTCATGTCTTGTGTAATCTACTCCACTGTGTGTTAGTTGGGTGTGCTCTTGGATGTCTGTAATCTCAGTACTCTGGGAGGCTGAGGCAGGAGGATTGCAAGCTGAAGCCCACCCTGGGCAATTTAGTGACTTAGGGAGAACTTGTCTCAAATATAAAATTTAAAAAGTTCATTTGAAACAAAATTCATTTGAAGAACAAATGAATGAATTAAGTATATGATACCTGAAAATTGATCTGTGATAAATTTCAGATTTTAAAAATATAGAAGAAAAGCCTGAACTAGGAGCAATAGAAATTACTCAGCCTTATAGACTTCAAACCTACTGGAGGCCAGTTCATAATCAGAAGATTTTATTGGAGACTTTTTTCTTCTCCATGTACAGCTAAGACTAAAAGAGGCAAATTTCCAAGTCTCTCGGCTTTAATGTCTGCATTTACTGAAAGCCCCAGCAGCTCTGGCTTATTTAAGATCAATTGACATCAAGGCAACCACCAGCTTTAGTGCTCACTTACTTCTCTAGATTTATAAGAGAGGGAGGGAGGGAGGGAGAGAGAAAGACATGGATGTTAAAAATTTAGCAAGACCCTGTCTTAAAATTTACAACAATTTTTTAAAAGGGCTGGTGATACAGCTCACTGCAAAGGCTTTGGTTTCAATCCCCATTATCACAAAAAACTGACCTTAGGATGGTTATTTTCTGTCATATTTTGGATGGCCTTTAATGCTCTTTGTTGATTTCATTAAACTTTTAGAAATGCAGGTTCTGTAGCCCCACCTATACCTGCAGACCTTCTGATTTAGAAATTTTAAGAGATAAGGCCTGTAGGTGGCAGTTTAACACACCTTTTGGGAGATTTTGATTCACACTTAAGTTTAAGAACTAGCTAATGAAAAGATACATTCATTCAGTATTCTGGTAGCCTTGCTAACTTTACAGTCTCTGTTGAACCGTCTTTGTGTTAGGAACCACTCTTCTATCTTTATAGAATAAAGTTTCATCTTCAAAAACACAAGGATTGTGCTAAGCACAATGGCACATACCTGTAGGCTCAGCTATTCGGGAGGGATCATTTAGGTCCAGGAATTCAGGACTAGCCTGGGCAACATATAGAAACTCCTTCTCAAAAATAAAATAAAAACACAGGGACTAAGCTTCAGTTTACTCCTAGCCAGAACTATGCCAAACCAATCAGTGGACTGATGTAGTAATTACACACCCTTGATCCCAGCACCACACATACTGATCCAGCCACCTCTGAAGAGCATCTCCCCTCATGACTGGATGAGGCTTTGGGGGGACACCTAGACCCAAGCCATAACAGTTGGATTTAGGATAACTTTTGGAGGGGTAGAACCAATAAAACTTAATGTTAAACACTACAATCCTAGAATGTTCCTTGGGTATTACTTCTTTGTGAGCTTTTGTTTTATTTTTGAGTTTAGTTTTTTTTTTTTTTTGGTACCGGGGATTGAACTCAGGTCCTTATGCTTGTAAGGCAGGCAGCGTAACCACTGAGCTAAATCCCTGACACCCCCCCCCCACCACCCTTTTTTGAGACAAGGTCTTGCTATGTAGTTCAGGCTGGCCTTGGAGTCACAGAAATCCTCCTGCCTCAGCCTCCTCAGGCTCCGAGTCCTGCGATTACACACATGTAGTGGTCTACACCTGGCTTGTTTTTTTTTTAACTTTAAGAACCAGTGCAATTTTGTTATTAAACATAAATTCTCTAGAATTTGATGGTCTGGGTTCAGATTCTAACTCCATTACATACCAGGTGTGCATTTCTGCAAATTACTTCATTTCTTATTTGTAAAATGTGGATAATGTCAGCAAGTGTTTTTTCAAGCAACGAATAAGATACTGACTGTAAAGCACTTCTCATGATATATGGAACATAGATTTTTAATTGGCTCAGTTTGGAGCAAGAGCATACTCTTAAATGAGATAATGAGGACTGTAAAAAACCCCCCAAAAAACTAAGAGCTGGAATGTAACTCAGCAGTAAAGCACTTAGTTAGCATGTGCGAGGCCTTGGGTTTGATCCCTAGCACTGCAAAATAAATAGGTAGAATAACAGAAAATTTTGCTTTTATTTTACAGAAAGCTAATTTTAACATTTTAAATTTGTATTACTTCTTCACAAAGCATAGAATTGTGTCAACAATGATTCTGACGGATCATTTGAAAAATTTAGCTTGCACCTTGTCCAAGCCCATTTTGTGCTGCTGTGACAGGATATCACAGACTGAGTAATTTATTTTTATTTTTATTTTTATAACAAAACATTTATTGGTACACTTTAGGTATACATAATGATAACACTCATCATAGGGAATTTGCACCTGTACATGATACATCCCACCTCTTTTTTCCCATTCCCCCCTCTCCTCAGGCCCCTTACTCTCCCTATGTACAAAAGCTTTCCATTTTTTTCCTTCTATTTTCACTTTTTTTCTTGTCTGTTCCTTCCTTTCTCCCTCCCCCTCCCTTGTTCCCATTCCCATTTGAATATTTTCTTCCCATTTCCCAATATCTATTATACATTTTAGTCCTTAGTTCCACTTTCAGTTTCTCACACCAGAGAAACAATGCAGTATGTAAATATGTGGGTCCAATTTATTTTACTTAAGAGTATGGTCTCAAGGTCCATCTATTTAGCTATAAATGTTTAAAGCTTATCCTTTATGGCAAGGGTAGAACTCCATTATATAAAAAAACCCACATGTTCTTTATCCATTTGTTGGTTGATGGGCATTTGGGCTGTTTTCAAGATTT